TTTGGGCTAAAAATTTAACGTAAAAATTTAACCCAACAGTTGGGTTAGTCCATATTTGACCCAAAGTTTGTTTTTTTTAGAGTGTATAGTCACACTAACACACTAATGTTTTCATCTTTACACTATAGGCTAACCGGTTTTTGTGTCCATCCACCTTGTCACTATAATTTCTGTCATTGCTTTTAGCTGGAGTTTCAAGTCCAAGTGCTTAAGAAACAGTTTTGGCATCACTAACTTTTGCACTTAAATTGTTTTTACTTAATTTTATGGCAGCAATTAAAATTATGCTGTTAATGGTTTAATTTGAATGGTTTGACATATTTCTGAACTGCAGTGAGAGTGTCCAGTAAGCACCTCCTAATAGGTTTTGACACGCATCCATTTTCCTGGACCTCATACTTTCATGTTACACTCTAAAAAATGCTGGGTTAAATATAACCCAGCGCTGGGTTAAAAAGGGACAAACCCAGCTATTAGGTTGTTTTGACCCAGCGGTTGGGTTGTTTTGAACCCAACCGCTGGGTCAAAACAACCCAGCATATTTTTATGGGTTGTATTTAACCCAGCATTTTTTAGAGTTTAGGTAAATCAGGATTTATTAAAACATTGAATGTAATATTAATATTAATCCTAAAATACAAACGTGAGATGATGTTAGAGCAAGTTGTGCATGTCAGGATCAAGCTGAGAAGACTAGCAAGGGAATCTCTTGAAGAAAAGTGACAGGTGGGTGGAGCTTGTGTAGAGTAAGTGGGGAAATATGTGCTCTAATATGAACTATAGGTAGAGTTCACAGTATTTACAGTATATGCAAAATATCTACAAAGGAAATTGTGCAATGGAGGTAGACATAAGTACATCGTAAACAATGCCTGATTTCAGTGACCTCTCCAACTGGCTTTTGCCCTGACCTGCCACTACTGATCTTTCAGAATGAATAACTATTTAATTTATTGTTCTAATCACAGAATAAAAGCTGTCTTTGTCTCTGAAAGTCCCAAACCACCACAAGTAGCATATCATCCCCAGAGTAATGGTCAATGATTATGGGTTTTCAATGACCAATTCTTAAACATTTACATTCCTCCACAATCACCTTTCAAGTATTGAATTGATTTAGGCCTATTCGTTTGTTTGCATTTTTCTGGCACTTTTCTGGCATACCTGGTGACTGAAACTCAAGTCAAGACACTGAGGTCAAAACAACATGAGCTAAGTGGCTAAACTGCCCAATTACTAGGATATACAGTGGAATTCAGAAAGCTAATAAGAACACAAATGACATTGGTTGATTAGTTTTATGATATTGTGGCAGGATATTGCTTGGGTTTAGACACTACAATATGACTGCCATGTTCAAAATTGCCATGTGCATTATTTACAATATGAATAATTTATTAGGCACCAGACACATCATTACATAACACACCCGCGCCTCTGTGGTCTTAAATTTAAATCTTAAGCGCTTAAGTTAAAAAGTTAAACTCTTGTAAAATGTAAAAGTGGGGACAGATGTACAGAAGTAAAAAAATTGATCCAGCTGTGCATAAGTACTCCTTCCTTGCAACAATGCAGTGTGTAGGCCAGTGTTGGCAGTGCAAAAAAATCTATAATAATAACAATAACTATACATGATGTAAAATCCTGTAAATCTGTTAATGTATCTGTTACATCCTGTGAAGGAAACTCATTTCCTCATTTTGCATGATCTTTTTGGGTCTTGATCATACTATTCCCGAGCATCATTGTTTTATGAAACTACATGTATTCATGCAACGAATAAAATTCTGTTGCTATAAGGATCATCAAACAACTGACATTCAAAAACTTATTTGAAGCAACTTGAGCATATTACATTTATGCACATCAGAGTGCTGTGGAGTTGTAATTAACATTATTTCAGTTAGATACAAAGAATCTCTACGTAAGATCTACGTAGTTCTTGAAGTAGCCTATATATTTGGTAGCAAACGCGAATTAACTGATCATCTGTTTCTGAGTTTCTGACTTGCAAAATCCTGATGTTCCCAATTACGAATCTAAATTAATATGCTTGAGTAGTCTAGAGTTCTTTTATGCTTTGCAATAAGGGAATCAGTGCTGGTGTAAACTCTGACTCTGGGAACATGCTCACCATAGACGCTCTACAATGCACTGAAGCTGCAGTATTTTTTTGGCAGCGGCCTGCGTTCTTTCTCAGATCTGCAGTCAGTGCTTGAAGAGAAGGTCTCCTGTGTGTCGTGTGTGATATGCTGTTACACATGAATGGACTCCACTCATGGATTCTACAGGTTCTCTGGAACTCAAAATCATTCCTAGATACTACAGAAAAGCATTTGGGATAAGGCTTATACTCATTTTTCTGCATGTATAACTTGTTCAGGTTACGTTTCTGAGGTCTAGCAGACCTGTAGCCCAAGCTTTATAGCTGTAATGTAATGAAGCATAAATCGTTAGTGTGTAAGTAGTGGCGAGGTGGGTAACAGTGAAAAATGTACACCATATGCCAAAAATGTGGTCACCAGTGGCATAAACGGGATGCATATTAAAGCGGTCTTTAATTATGGCAGACTGATGCCCCTCAAAGTAACAAACTAAACCACAACTGTAACTTTTCTCACACAATAGCTGAACGCCCCCTTGTGGATAGTGTGAACATTGCAGAAAAAAAAAAGAATTTCTTATGCTTAAAGGGGTCATATGATGTTGCTAAAAAGAACATTATTTGTGTATTTGGTGTAATGAAATGTGTTTATGCGGTTTAAAGTTTAAAAAAACGCATTATTTTCCACATACTGTACATTATTGTTTCTCCATTTTAGTCTTTAGTCTTTGCAACTTTACAGATCTTCTTTATGCACCAAGAGCTTGTAACACTTCAAAGAGAAACTGAATTTAATGTTTTGAGATACTTAATTGCATCATAGTTGCAATTAAATGAATATGCATTATAGTATAATTTATAATAAATGCATTAACTGAACTTTAGAGTGCTTTTTGACCCACTTATAAGACTTAAGTACATCTTTGTGTATTTTTAAAATGACTTGTTGAAATATGGTTAAAGTTGAATGTACTGACAAAAATGTATGGAGTACTTTAATGTCACTTCTATTGAAACTCGTATGTCATGTATTTAAAAATATTTGTTGTAACACATTTTTAATGATGAAGTTGCAATTTAGTATATTTTAAAATATATTAACTTTAAATTTAATATTGAATAACACTATGGTTAAAACAAATTCAAATACTTTACATGTGCTTTAGTATGAGTCAATGCAAAATAAGTGCACTTCTGTAAAGCACAACAACAGATTATTAAAAAATCACATCTCTCTCTGCAGGTGGCTGGTTCTGCTTCAACAAAGAGAACTGTGACAGCAGATATGAGACTATGAGGAGGCTCATGAGCTCCTCCAAATGGCCACAAACCAAGACAGGTTAGAAATGCCAACGGTCCGTCAACTGAAACTCCATTTCTAATAGTATTACTGGCTTATTCACAACCAGTCCAAATTTTGAACATACATGAACTAGATTTCAAAATGAATAAGCGTAGATTGTTCTCATTTCTGTTTTGTTTTATAATGTATGTCTTTATTTTAACTTTAGGCACAGGAATACTTTCTTCGCTTCCAGAGCAAAACCCACACTGGTGGAATGCCAACATGGTGTGAGTATCCCACTATAAATGTTTTTGTAAAAGAGAAGTAAATATTCTGTTACTTCTCACTGTTTGAAACGGGCTGAGTTTCATAAAGGTTATGATGGCACGGTTCTGGACCAGAAATCTTTGTGTTTGTCACTTTTCAGGTTCATCCCATATTGCTCAAGTGATATATGGAGTGGAGCCACACCAAAAACTGATAAAAGTAAGACTCCTTACCTAATAGATGATACATTCACTGCTATGGTATACACCGTTTACCATGCACAGATGAAATTTCACTTTAACCTGGAAAAAAAAGAGAGAATGTTTCATGAGTTTGAGAAAATTAAACAAAAAAAGTTTACGGGGGGACAAAGAGAACTGTGACAGCAGATACGAGACCATGAGGAGGCTCATGAGCTCCTCCAAATGGCCACAAACCAAGACAGGTTAGAAATGCCAACGGTCCGTCAACTGAAACTCCATTTCTAATAGTATTACTGGCTTATTCACAACCAGTCCAAATTTTGAACATACATGAACTAGATTTCAAAATGAATAAGCGTAGATTGTTCTCATTTCTGTTTTGTTTTATAATGTATGTCTTTATTTTAACTTTAGGCACAGGAATACTTTCTTCGCTTCCAGAGCAAAACCCACACTGGTGGAATGCCAACATGGTGTGAGTATCCCACTATAAATGTTTTTGTAAAAGAGAAGTAAATATTCTGTTACTTCTCACTGTTTGAAACGGGCTGAGTTTCATAAAGGTTATGATGGCACGGTTCTGGACCAGAAATCTTTGTGTTTGTCACTTTTCAGGTTCATCCCATATTGCTCAAGTGATATATGGAGTGGAGCCACACCAAAAACTGATAAAAGTAAGACTCCTTACCTAATAGATGATACATTCACTGCTATGGTATACACCGTTTACCATGCACAGATGAAATTTCACTTTAACCTGGAAAAAAAAGAGAGAATGTTTCATGAGTTTGAGAAAATTAAACAAAAAAAGTTTACGGGGGGAAAAAAAAGAAGAAACGTTTAAGATTGGTCAATATTTCTAGGTAACTAATAGTATGTCAGTTTGTGACACTGAGCATGTGAACTGCTTTGTACAAAATATATATTTTTTTTTCATTCAGAACATTCTCTATTATGCCGAATAACATGGATAATCAGAATTTGCACAAACATCATGCCAGCTCAAGTGTTGAAGTTCATGAAATTTATTCATGATAATATAATATGTAATGAAAAATGATGTACTAAAGATATTTTCACTATAATAATCTAACTATAATTTAATAAGATTTTTCACTAGTGGTCTCAGACCTTTTTGAAAGGAGTCACTTCTGCTCACCAAGGCTGCATTTATTTGAACAAAAATCAGTAAATAATAGCGATATTGTGAAATATTTATTACAAAAAAAGCAATTAATAATTAAAAAAATTCAAATGTATTCCTGTGATGGCAAAGCTGAATTTTCAGCATTATAACTCCAGTCTTCAGTGTCACATGATCCTTATGATCCACATGATAAAAAGTTCAAAAGCTCAGTATTTTAAAAAATAGAAATCATTTGTAACATTATAAATGTCTTTACTGTCACTTTTGAACTTCATGCATCCTTGCTGAATAAAAGTTCTAATATCTTTAAAAAAAAAAAACTCTTAATGACCCAAAACGTTTGATTATTATATCACAGTATCAATATATTACCACTTGATACCATCACTGTATAGCAGTCCAACGCAGAGCTGTTATAAGTTAGTTGGCACTAGCTGTCATTGACTTGTTGTTTATTGTGTACAGATGACTATGCGTTCATGGGTTCACTGATCATAAAGGAAGTTGTAAAGGAGCTGCTCACCAAGGGTCTGGATAATGCTAAGATACTTCTGTTGGCTGGAAGCAGGTGAGTCCATATTACAGACCATGGTTTCGGAGTTTGATATCCATGGCCGATGTTGACTAAATACGTGCGTCTTGTCCACAGTGCGGGTGGCACTGGGGTGTTGCTGAATGTGGACCCAGTATCTGAGCTTCTGGAGGAGTTGGGTCACACAAACATCCAGGTCAGGGGTCTGTCTGACTCTGGCTGGTTCTTGGACAACAAACAATACCGCTGCACTGACTGCATGGACACCATCAACAGTGCCCCCACTGAGGTCATCAAGAGAGGAATCAAGTAAGAATACTGCATTTCTTAATAATGTAAAGACATTTGATCTTGCTATTGCTCCTACTTAGGGTTCAGGGATTTGAACTCTAACCTTAAAGGGATAGTTAACACAAAAATAAAACAATCTGTCATGCTCAAGTTGTTCCAAACCTACAAGAGTTTCTTTCTTCTGGTGAACACAAAAGAAGATATTTTGAAGAATGCAGGTTTATGGTCCTCATTGACTTCTATAGTATTTTTTCCATACCCACATTCTTCAAAATATATTTGTTTGTGTTGAACATGAGAAAGAAACCCATACAGGTTAGGAACAACATGAGGTTAATTTAATGACAGAATCTTCATTTTTGGGTGAACGATGCCTTTAAGAATGATTACATGATAGAATTTATGCTGTCAGAGAACATTGATTTTAATGGTGATGGTGTGTTGCAAGGATGTCGAGAAAAAGAAATATGCAAGTGATGCTCACTGTGGCGAAAAGTTGATAAAATCCAAGAAGCAGAGAATTTCAGAGAGGTGGGTCACATTGTTCTTGTAGAAATCCGATTTGCTGTATTCCCACTTGATTTAAAAAAAAAAAAAAGACTCGTTTTACACCTTCACAGTAGCAGATCTTGAACATTGCATGTCTTCACTCCACTATTGTATAACTAAAAGTGACTGTATAACAAAAAGGCAGTGCTAGGTATCTTTCCATTTCTGACACCTGCTTGTCATGGATAAGAAGACATTTTTTTTTTTTTTTTTTTTTTTTTTTTTTTTTTTTTTTTTTTTTTTTTTTTTTTTAATCATTATGCTGTTCAAACAACACCAAGAGTACAGAGACAAGTGAGCCGGGTCCAGACTTCTCACTTAACAAAATACTCTGTTCATAAGCGCCACCAAGCTGTAGTTTTATGTAGCAGCAGCAGCAGCTCTGGGCATGTGATCAAAAGTGCAAATCTTATTGGTCGGCCAGCTTCTTTCACAGTGCCATGGAAAATAGATTAGAAAACCTCTGTTAAAAAATCATCACATTGGCAGTATGCAAATGTTTTTGTCAGTTCATTTTTATTGCATTAAATAATAAACATGGTGTGAACATTTTCCTCATATACATATGAACTTGACTGAGTTAGACATTTAGGAATGAACTGAGCTTCTTGTTGGCAGATACTGGGGCGATGTGGTACCAGAACGATGTCGACAGGCTTATGAAGGAAAAGAATGGAACTGCTTCTTTGGATATAAAGTTTATCCTACCATTAAACGTGAGTCTATGGCATACCAGGCACCAAACACGGCCACATTTTTCCTAGTTCTTTACAGACGATGTTGAGTTTGGTTACTTTTGTTAACCCAATGTGATGTTTCTTTGTCGCAGGCCCTGTGTTTATAGTGCAGTGGCTGTTTGATGAAGCCCAGCTGACGGTAGACAACATTCATCTGACGGGACAGCCGGTTCAAGAAGGACAGTGGCGTTATATTCAGAATCTAGGGAGTGAGCTGAGGAACACTCTGAAGGATGTCCCGTAAGTATGACCTGCCCTTCAGAGAGTCTCATTGTGAAGAGAGCATGAATTTATATTTGACGTGAACACTTTTGCTATTTCTAATACTCTGCTTTTCACCTCCAGTGCCATGTTTGCTCCTGCTTGCCTTTCACATGAATTCATAACAAGAAAGTAAGTGATCTCTTTGATTATTTTGTGTATCTTGTAGATCAGATTTGCTGTCAGTTCAAGGAGTATATTTATGTTTGTGTTTTACCACTTTCCTAGTTATTTACATGACGTTTAAATGAAGTTCAAATTGTTATTTTCCCCATTTCCATAATGAAATGGATGCTCATTGACTAGCTCTTCCCTCTTGTGTTTGTTGTAGTTACTGGACTGATGTCCAAGTCAAAGGCACGTCTTTACCCAGAGCGCTCCACTGCTGGGACCGCAGTCTACAAGAAAACAGCCGAAATAATAAATCCCCTCCCAAAGGCTGTCCCGTGCACTTGATCGACAGCTGTCCATGGCCTCACTGCAACCCGACGTGCCCAACGATCCGAGACCAGTCGACGGGACAGGAGATGAACGTAATCCAGTTCCTCATGCACATGGGCTTTGATGTACAGAAGATGGCCCATCAGCAGGGCATGGACCCAAGTAAGCTACTGGGCATGCTCAGCAGCGGCAGCTAAATACCGTGGAAGGACTAGCTCCCGGTTGGGACCGTGATTCCCATCAGTCCGTTTGATACCTCCAACCCCACACCCGCCTCAGCTTTGACCTCAGGCTAAGCCCTGCATTTAGTCGGGGCTCTGTGCCAACTCTCTATGGGCTTCCGTCTCCAGATCTCCCCATTAATGATCAGCTGGTTTCCATTTTGCTCCAGTCTACACTATTATCACAGAGCAGCTTGGAGATGGTGGAGATGCCCAAAACTAAAAACAGATTTGGAACAGAGCCCTTGTCAGATCCACCTCAGATAAACCATGGGCTGCTGACTGTTTAATGGTTCCCAACACAACACGGTACCAATGAAAGTACTGAAGAACCATGTAACCAGGACAATGTACACCAGCATCTTTGCTCTTAATTTATCTTTTGGTTATAAAAGTATCACGAATGTAATCCAGTTTTACGGATCTTCAGCATTGTTGTTTGCTTTGTTTTTTTTGTTTTTTTTTTACCAATATAGTAAGCCACAGTTTATTAGAGTTTAATGTGTCCATTCAGAGGAAGTAAATACAGAGAACAGAGATTATAGAGTTTATAACGGAGTTCACGAAGTACATATAAAATATATGGATCTACTCAAGACTATAAAGAATCATAAAAACAGGAATTTTGGAACAGGCAGACATGGGATCACCTGCTCTAAACCCAACATCTTTCTTGGGGTATGGCTAAGTTATGATAAAATGTCGTCATAATAGTTTTTAAGGAATAGTCAGCCCTATAATAAATTGTCACCATTTACTTAATTCCCATGCCATTGAAAACATTATTTATTTCTTCAGTAAAACACAGCTGGAGAGCTTCTCAAGAATGTCCAAGCTTCCGTTTTTGATACCATGGTCATTTATACTGCCAAAAGCCAAAACGGACATAATGGTGCCGTAAAAGTATGATAGTCCATATGATCATGTAGGGTTGGGGATGAAGCGAGGACTCAGTAGTGCAGAGTAATGGGCTTTCAATAGTAAAATAAAACAAAACCAGAAACAAAAACTACCCCGTGGGGGAAAAACAGGCTGGCACGCAGGCTGACAGGATACATGCGATGACGAACTCGCACAGGACTGCAAACACAAGGAGAATAAATAGGGAGCAAATGAGGAGGGTAACAAGGGAACACAGGTGGGGCGAATTAACCAATAATCAGGTAACAAGATGGGTGGGGTCAAGACAATTGACATGAGAACACATGGCACACAGGAAACAAAGACAAAAGCCATGTGCTCACACAAAACAAAAACACAAGCACATGGCCAGCAAAACAATCACAAGCCATGTGCTTGAACAAAAAGACACGAACACGCAGCTAATGAGAATACTCATAAGCCGCGTGTTCACACAAGACAAGACAGCACGCAGCCAGCGAAAACCAAGCTGCGTGCTACACAGCACAAGACAAAACAGGACATGAAAGCACGCAGCCGATAACACGAGCTGCATGCAACAACAAGAAAAGCACGTGGCCGAACAAACCGCGTGCTACACAACACACGTGGACAGAAGAGCACATGGCCGAGCGAACTCGAGAACGCACGCTCCCACAACAAGACAGAACATGGAGCGTGAGTGTCCGGAGCCCGACACGAGACCGAAACTCAACAAGACATGAGTGCCGGGATCTGAACACCACGCTCCAACATGAAACAGTACACGCAGACGAGAGCGCACGGCTCGAGCACTCTCGAAGTCACACGCTCGCATGAAAACAAGACATGACGGGAGTGTCAGGGCTCTGTCACAAAACCATGGATAACACTAGACCGAAGTGACAGAACCCACAGCTAATGAGAAAACTCATAAGCCGCGTGTTCACACAAGACAAGACAGCACGCAGCCAGCGAAAACCAAGCTGCGTGCTACACAGCACAAGACAAAACAGGACATGAAAGCACGCAGCCGATAACACGAGCTGCATGCAACAACAAGAAAAGCACGTGGCCGAACAAACCGCGTGCTACACAACACACGTGGACAGAAGAGCACATGGCCGAGCGAACTCGAGAACGCACGCTCCCACAACAAGACAGAACATGGAGCGTGAGTGTCCGGAGCCCGACACGAGACCGAAACTCAACAAGACATGAGTGCCGGGATCTGAACACCACGCT